GTGCAGTCGAATCAGATGACGTTGCAACAATAGATGGCCCCCAAAGCTTCTTGCATGTTTTTTCTCCACTAGAAAATTCTTCTCAAGAAAGAGTTTCTCTCTCAAGACCTTTGGAGGCACCCAGAACAAAGAAGAAGAAGAGTTGTTGATGCCCCATTCCTGGAAGCGTTCAAGCCCAGGTTGGATGAGGCTTGGAGCAACCCGGTCTAAGTGGAAGGTATCCCTGCCCATGGCAGGGGGTGGAACAAAATGATCTTTAAGGTCCCTTCCAACCTAAACCATTCTATGATTCTATGATTTTATAAGGTGCCATAACCAGAAGCGAAGAAAAAAAGAAAAAAAATTTTCTCCAAATGCATGAGGTAAGGGGTAGGAAACGTCTGCTTTGCCTCCAGCTTCTGCTATTTCTTTCTCTTTTCCCTTTTTAATATATTACCATCGAGAAGAGACGCCCCAGCTGCGTTTCTTTTTGGTTCAGCAGCTTGGATGTTGTACTCCAAAATTTACACAGGGATGACAAAGCTGGGAAGTGTTTCCTGCTGGTGTCTGCAGTGATGGATGGGACTGGGAGTGCTACTCTGGTGAGGCCAAGGGCAGGAGGAAGGGTTGCAGCAGTATTTCAAGGCAATAAGTCACTCTGTGCATTCCCAGTCCTCACTGGAAGGACCGTGTCATTGCCTCAGGGTGCTCCTGTGAGCACCTCTGTAGTCACCACATGTGACAGGGATGACCACATCCCACATAAGAAACTGAAAGAAACAGGAAAGGTAAAGAAATAGAAATTAAACAGTACCCATTACTGTGTTCAGAGGTACGTCACCTTCTTGTGAGGCAACTGCTGGCCCAGCTGGCTGCAACCACCCTCCTGCCATATGTCCTCCAGATCTCTCTGCTGCTACAGGTCCCAGAGGCTGGGCTGATGCAATATATGCTTTCTGTGGAAAACCACGGAAAACAGACCCTGTGGACCCAGCCTGAACTCCCAATACATAGTGAGGAGAGCACTGTTTGCCCATGGGCTTAGCTATGGACAACCAAGAAGCCATGTTAAGGGTAGATAGAAAAAATTGTTTGTCTAATTAAAGTCTTCTCATCCTGGTCAGACCATAACAACTTATTTAATTTCATTGTTATACAGGTTCCTAGAATCTAAATGATCAAATTATTGATGGGAATTAGCAAAAACTAAAACTCTTAAATGCAAGTCTCCCAGAGCTGTGCTATGCTTTGGTGATGCTCCCTCGTCCCATGAACCATTATGGGAGGCCATCAGCTTCCTAAATCCTTTCCCTGGAGAAGGAGGATGATGATGACAGTGTGTGCTGGGGGCAGGGGGAGAATGGTCTTCCTTCATTGTTTCGAGTTTGCTCAGAATTAATTCTGTGTGTCAACCCCATATTTCTGTATTTCTTAATAGGTTACAGTCTTTCCTGCTTGTCCATAAGCTTATGTACACCACAATTCTTTCTCCTTATACAATATTACTTCTTTTAAGGGGAAAATCCATGCAATTAGACAAAATAATGCAAAGTGTAAACTGAAACACACTTGGGAATAAGAGCTAAAGCAAACTCCAAACCACAGGAGAGCAAGAGCTATTTGAACACTCAGTTATTTGGCTGTCACAGCTATGAGAGGCAAGGCAATGGACCTCTGCTCTTGGGATAATCGTAGGCACAAGAAAGGCTCTTAAATACATAGTTTAAAATCATTCCAGATGATCTGGGTATGCATTTTAGGAGTCCTACCACACTGGTAAAGTGGCCTCAGTGATCTCCTTCCCCAGTCATCACCTTCCAGTGAAGGGCTGTGAATCAGCGTTGCCTCAAATGAGGAGCATTTAGTCAGAGGAGCATTTAGTCAGAGGAAAACAGAGAAATGTGGCCCAAATTGTGTTGTTGTTACATAAACCCCCCCGCTGAACATCTGGAGAACATCTGAAGTTTAACAAAGCAGGCCCGCAGGCAGAGGCATTTTTGACCTTCCCTGTAATGGAAGCACAAAAATTGAGACTGAAAAGAGGGGGGTGAATATAATCAGAAATGGAAGACAAAATTACTGGGGCCAACCTGGGCCCAAATACCCGACAAGGGTTCCTGCAGTCATGCCTGAAGAGTGCACAGGAGTGGGGAGAGACAAGGCAACAGTCCTAAACACAAGGTGCTGGGCACTGCTGAAAGATTTCTGCAGGTCCCTGTCTTCTGGGAAAGCCAGCTTGCCACCCGGCTCTGGTTAAAATTGTTTCTTCTGGGCAAACTGGAATTTGAAGTGAACATTTGGGGTTTTTTCTCATGGGGAAAACTGACAAACACTCCAGAACTGAGGCTTGGAAAGAGACACTTTTTGCTGATTTGGGATTTTCTTTTCCTTTCTGCAGGGGTAAAATGCTAGGGCACGGTTAGGGGGTGGAGGGGGAAAATGAACGGAAGCAGGAAAGATCCCTCCTGCCACCTACCTTTTCTAGCAAAGAGCTGTAAATCAGCCCACAGACAGAGAGATCTTTCCCCAGGTGCCTTTTACATCCCTGTGTTGGATGTGGCCCAGCTGGGAACAGGTAGAAGCCCCCTTTTCCCACCCCTTCTTGCTGGCAGCAGTACATCCTGCTGGCTGAGCAGCCCTTGCCATGAGTGTGTAGCCCAGGGGCTTGTCCCTATCACAGTCTTTGACTCATGCCAAGGACTGTGGCAAGCCATTAATAGGCATTTCCTGAGCTGTAACAATAAGTGCCTTTCTTAGGGCAGATGTGAAGGCATTTTTTCCTACCTTTCCATGGAGAGGAGAGTGGGATATCTGATACAGGCACCAGCCACATGCAGAGCCTCCCTAGGGATGCTCCTCAGACTTTCCAGCTGTGAGTGAGGTGTCCCCGACGCTGCAGGGAGCCCAACAAGCATCTCAGCTGAGACATCCAGGAGACAGCATGACTAAGAGAAGGACATGAGACAAGGCAGGAGCAAGGCAGTGCCTCCCTGTTACAGAAACAGGACACCATTTTCCTGTTGAATGTCCCCACTGTCTGGGCAACAAGTGACTTCGTGTGAATCCCCAGTGAAAGGCTCCGGCAAGCCCCTGGCACGTACAGGTGTGGTCTGGGAGCTTCCCCAAAGACCTTTCAGAGCTGTCTTAGGATGTGAAACCAACATTTGGGGAGCGCTGAGCTTGGCAAAGCTGGATGAGATGTCCGATACTGTGAAGTAAGATATGCAGGTATCCCCAGAAAGGCCAAGGAAGTGGAAAGAATTCAAAAGTTTGTTTAGAACACGAGAAACACATACCTGACAGTGCTATTTAAGCACTAGGCCCCAGGGAGAAAAAGGCACGTTCCTGCCCTCTCTGGGGCCTTTAGTATCCTCTCTGTTTCTCCGCTGCCTTCCCAAGGCCTCTGTTCATGTCTGTTAGGGTTATCTGTCTCCAGAGGGAGAGATAACACAGCCCTCTCTGCAACCCCCTCTGGACTGCAGAAGGGGCAAAAAAAAAATAATCCAACGTTCTTGAGAAGGCACTTTGCAGGCTTCCTAAGAGAAAATGATCTTCTAGCTTTCCCATTACAAATTCTTCCGAAAGCACAACTATTCCTAAAGATACGTCCAGCACTAGCCCTGTTTCCAGAGCAGCATCCTTAGCAACCTGCATCTAGCAGCAACCTGCCCGGGGAAATGAGGTATTAAGGAGAGATGCTGCACATAAGAAAAAAGCAAATGCAGCTGTGTAGGGTTTGGGGTTTTTTGCAATCAGAAGGCAAACAGAAGCTGGGCAAGCATTTCCCATTCTCTGAGAGCTCAGTGCTCTTCTCATAAATTTTTATGCACTATTTAATAGGGGAAGAGGATTCACAGTATATTTCAAACCCGTGGTATTCAATAACAGCCAGACATGATGCAAAACCAATCGATCTCTTTGCTTCTACCCCTCAATTTTATGTGAGAAATTTTGCTGGAGTCCTGCCAGATCCCAGCAACCTCTATTTTACCAAGTGATTTTTTTGAACATTTGGAGCCCTTGAAATTCAAGTCAGAGACAAACTTCCAATGAGACTGTGGAAAACAATTTATTTGACAAATTTCCCAAGTGGACAATTTTAGTAAAACACAGGTATAAAATAAAACTAACTTGTACAATGGGGGTTTGGATACAAAGTGAAGAGTTTGGGGTGCTGATACCTGGCAATCACTGTTGATTTCTTGGAAGTGCATGAATTCATAGCAAGAGCACCAATGGAAGCACTGAAACAAAATCTCACCCAGCCAAACCACATGTTAAGTGCGGTCCTAGAAACAACTGTGTAAACACCAAGGGCCCACATCACCCACATAAGTGATAGCACCTTTGTCAGTATATCTGTAGGGTGTGAGTCAAAGACCCTGGGAGATGATGGCAGCCTTTCCCTTAACTTTGCTGGGCTGAGGATGAGGCCTTAATTCAATATATAGTACAGTTAGTGGGTTTCCCTAAGGTCCAGGTGCCTAACTCCTAGGTGGTCCTATAGAAACAGTACTCTCTGAATGCTCGCTGGGAGTCAGTCAGCTTGGATCTTTTGGGGGAAAAAAAAAAATTAAAAAAAAATCCCACTAACTGGGCTCAGAGAGATTTTCCAGAATGGAACTTGAATCATTACAGAAGTCATCAGGTTATTCATGAGGTTCCTGGTTTCACTGTAGAACCATGAGATCAGTTCTGTGCAGTTATGTAGCTTCTTTTGGGGTTTCCCCCTCCCCAATGGCTGCTGTCCATCTTTCCTTTGGTCGGTGCCCAGGCTCCCTGCCCTTAATAGGAGTGTCAGTGCCAAGGAATGCTCCACCACCCACCTCTACTCCAGCCCTGGGAAGTCAGTGTCCCGTCCCATGGCACTGGAGGCCAGAGATGCTTCCACACAGCTTGGGTAATGCAGTCCAGCCCTCCCTCCACCCCAGCCGTGGGAGATACGAACCAAACTTGCCAGCTGTGACAACGATCCCCTCTCAAAGCTTGCTAAGTGTGAATAATTCACTTGAAGCAGAGCATTAGGTTAGGATCATTGTGAGATGGGCAATGGCTCAACTGATGTATGAAACAGAGAAGGAAATTAAAACAATTAAAAAAAAAGTATATGAAAAGAGCATAATAAGCCTCAAGAGACCAGGCTGGTTCTTAGTGGTACAAATTCCTCATCTTGGTTCTTTCTTGACACAGTGGGATGAGGTATTTGTTTTCTGATGGTTTATTGCTAGGTGTACTTCTGGGGAGGGAGGGCAGTCATAGGCAGTGAGGGAAGTTTGAGGCTAACAGAGAAGAGACACAGGTGATGAAGCAGGGGGAGAAGGAAGGGGACTATGTAGAGCCAGGCTGTGGCATTGTGGTTATCTGCATAGATGCAAATTCTTCACATTGGTCAAAAACACTGTTAAATTTTTTTTGTATTGTTTTGGTTTGGTTTTTTTTGGTTTTCCTTTTTTGGGCAAGACAGAAGACGCTATGGCCTTGGCAGAAACCCACCCATATGCTCAGTCAACAGCTATCTTCCTGGAGACAGTTTGGTAGAAGACGCCACGCAGCAGAGAGGTATAGTCGGGCACACGGAAGAGGTGGCGCTCCCCATAGACCACGTCGTAATCTGCGCTCTTCCCCGTGACCAGGACACGGATGTTGGGCTCGTTGGCTTGGCTGCCCACTGCCAGCACATAGATCTCAATGCCAGCCCGCTGGGCTTCCTGCACAGCTCTCTCAATGGCACTCGCGGTGATCCCTTGGGAGTGTCCGTCAGAAAACACCAGCACCCTCTTCTTGGCCCCGGCGCGGGCGGACCGCTGGTACATCAGCGTGATGTACTGCAGAGCAGCATTGACGTCTGTGGCGTCATTCATGAACTCCATGTTGTCAATGGCTTTGGCAATGACCGTGTAGTTGTGTTGGAACTGAGCTTCCACTCTCTGCTGGTTGCTGCTGCTGTACTGCACCACTGAGACGCGCACGGAGTCATCGGCGGGCTTGCCAGCCTCCAGGAACCGCTCCGCCAGCCGCTTCACGAACTTCTTGGTGGTCTCAAAGTTCTTGCTTCCCACGCTGGTGGAGCTGTCCACCAGCAGTGTGATGTCCGCTGGACTGGTGAAGGTGACTGCAAGGGGAAATGTCCAGGGCTTGTTACGCTGCGCTTCTCCTCCGACCTCTTCCACGGAAAGCCGATGAGGTCACTGGCTGTCTCATAGGCTTCCTGCCTTGTCAGACTCGGGAAATCCCTACCCTTGCTAGCTTTGTTTCCCCTACTCCAGTGCTGTCCTACACTTGTCCTTTTACCCTTTCATTCCTTCTTTTATTTGGTTTAGGACAGGCTGCATTCCCAGGTGTTTGTTTGGCTTAGATAATCTAGTGACTCTTGTTTAAATGCAGTGGCTCTCCTTGCATGTCTGGGGAACCACTTCATCTCCTTCGCCTCACTTCTTTCCATGGAAAGTCTGAGGACTGTAAATGCTTCTGATTTGGAGGTGTACTCCATTAAAATCCTCCCTGTACTCACTTTTCAAGAAGCTTTCTCCAATATCCCTGCCATGATTTTTCCTCATTCTCCCAACTGACCTCATTACCTGTATCCACTAAAGCCTGGGAGGGTTACAATCTGTCGCAGCCTCCTCTCTAGGTTTCAGGTGTCAGAGAAGCAATCATCTAGGCTTTCCCCCAGGTGCTTTGGGCTGGCATGCGCGTGAGAGACCCTGAGAGTGTCTGACAGATTTTGCTCACTTCCACACCAGGAGCCTTCTCATTGCAAGAGGTGTCCAAGCCATGCATCCCCATAAACTCCTACTTCCCCCACCACAGCACCCACAACCTTTCAGTGTGGCATGAGGAGTCAATACTCACTTGGGCAGGTGTAGTCAGGACATTTCTTCTCTGTTAAGAAAATTAGAGAGATTAGTGTCACCAACTCATCCATGAAAACCACTTGTTCGAACCAGCCACAGGAGGGACAGACACTCACCTTGGTCACTTGTGCAAGACCCTGAGCAAAGGCTATAAATGTGCTTAAAAAATGCTGTGGACAGAGAAGTCCTGCAGCAGGTGAGGACGTGGACCTGACTGCAAAGTGTTCTGAGACACGAGATATCCCTGTCCCTTCTTTAACTAAATTTGATCTCTGTTTTCTTCCCTCAACACCTGCTCAAGAGCATGACGGAGGGAACGCAAGGGAGGGCATCCTGCATCCCTCACCCCTTGGCTGACGTAAGCCTCACTGCCTTCCTCATTGCCTCCAGCCACCACCTTTCACCCACCTTGGCAGACGTATGAGGTGATGTTCTGCAGGAAGGTGTCATCCAGGAGCTCAGCATAATTGTCCCTTTGAATGGACAGTCCTGGCCTGGTTGGTCTGCTTAAACAAGCAATGTCATTCAGGTGATCTGGATTTGGAGGGTTCCGGAAAATGTCACCTATCCCAAGGGAAACCACCTGCAGGGAAGTTAGAGTCCATCACTGGATGCACTCATCATCTGATGCATTTGCAACTGCAAATGCCTGTCACTTTGTGAGAGTGCTTATAGCGACAGCTGTGCCCCCCACCCTATCCTGGGGTAGCCAAGGCAGGGAGATGCCTGGAGAGCCTTTGCTATGATGCACAGCTGCTGTGTGGCAGGTCCCCTGTGCCCTTACCGGGGTGACATCGCACAGGGAGTTGAGTGGGGTGGGGTCCCGCAGTGTGTCGGAGCGTCCGTCTGTGATGACGATGGCGACGCGCTTGTCAGAGGTGAATCTCCGCAGCAGGTTGTCTTTGGTGAACTGCAGGGCTTCTCCAGTGTAGGTCCCCCCAGCTATCCAGTTCAGGTTCTTGACTGCCCTGTAAGGACAGACACAAGTAAGCCTGCAAGCCGTGGGTACTGGAGGGGACAGAACACAATATCTCTGACAAGCTTGCCACCAAGGTAACACCCTGCATGGAGATTCGGGTGGAAAACTGGCAAGCTCCTTGGCCTCAGGAGCTCCTACGATGCCATCAACCACTACCTTCCACTAAAGAAGATTTAGTACCATTGCAGTTGCAGGAGCTGCTGGCCTGCAGGTGGGGGATGGGAGGTGAGTAGGTGTCCCTGGATCAGATCCCTGTGTGATGCGCCAAGACCCCACAGACTCACTGTTTGAGCGCCCCGATGTTGTCTATGTTGGCATCCCCCATGGCCACCAGCTCCTGTGTGTTGTCATGGCTGTACTGCACAACGCCCACACGGGACTCCCCGGGTTCAAACTGTTGGACAAAACAGAAGCCAGTAAGGGTCTGATACCTCAGGGGATCCCTGAGGCTCAGAATCCTGCTAATTGTCCTAAATGCCTTCATGCCAGGCTCTGATGCTTCTCTCCTCTGCTTTATTCCAGGAAGACAGAACTCCAATAGGAGTGGATGCACATGGGGACCAATTTGGTGAGACAGTCAGTGAAACAAGACCCAGATTTAGGTCTCTTGGCTCAGTGGTCTCAACATAAGCCATTGGACTCTCAGGCACATGGTAAGATTCTTGGGGTTGTCCTATGTGCAGTTAGGAGTTGGACAAACAAGGGTGCCTAGGGGGCTAGACATCAGAGACTTCCAACACACATCTACTCCAGATACCTGGAATGCTCATTGGGACAGGGAAGAGACTGAGACACTGATTGATCAGAGACTAATCAAGCTGATTGAATGCTTGATGAGCCATCTGCTCTGGGACATAGACAAATTGTTCCCAGTCACAGCAGGCAGAGTCCCTTTGCCCAGGAAGAGTGAGATGTCTATATTTTGGGACAACAAACGGTTGTCCAATCTCCATCACTTTATGAATTTGTGAGTAATCAAGACCCACCCCCAGCTTGAAGCCAAGCCTCATGGAGGCTTTCTGGAGTGGAGGCATCTCCCCATTTGCCTGCTTGCAGCATAAAAATGTGGGTGCACACAAGCGTATTGCAGCACTTGGCGCAAATCTCACCTTGACCCGCTCGTCCTTGCTCAGGCGGTCGATGACTTTGATGATGAAGTCCTTGGCAATCTGGAAGTTCTGCAGGCCAATGCTCTCCGAGCTGTCCAACACAAAGAGGAGGTCGACGGGACCACAGGTGCACTCTGCAGCAAGGCACAGGAGTGGAGGGACATGTTTTGAAGGGAGGCACCCCCAAAGGTATTAGCCTGCCCATGCCCTACCCACTCGCAAAGCCCGGGGTAAAATAATGCAGCAAAATAGCTGCATAGCAGACTTGGGAGGCAGTTTATGAATTTTTCTATTTGCATTTGCTCCCTTATAATACATATGGCATTTCCAGGCTGTGAGTACCCTTAAACCACCCGGTAATTATTCCACAACCCATTTCCTCATAAGCCTTCTCACTTCTTCCATTCACCCAGCCCAGGAGGACAGAGGTGACACTGGTGGGCTGGAGGAGGCTGACTCAGCTTGCTCCCCTATTTCCCATAGCTGCAGGACATCATGTGCCCTTAGCTTTTCCTTCAAGCTTTTGGACTGTAAACTCAACTTATTGGGACAGCAGCAGGGAAAAAAACCCAGCGTGTTCCTCTGCTGACCAACACAGGATTTGGAAGGAAGAGGGCAGAGCTGGATCCACAGTACGCTCTGAGCAGACATCCCAACTGCAAAAAGGGTGGAGAAAATCCACCCTGCTGGCACAGGGCACCTTGACAACAGTTTTCCAGTTGTACAACTCAGCCACATCAGCCTCTGAATCCATGTGGCACCCTCAGGGACTGCTTACTGCCCTCCCCTGCCTGGCTCATGCCTGGTCCTCCCTTGTGGGGTCCTCCCTTCCACAGCAGAGGGCAAGGAGCAGGGAAAGGGAGGGGTGCAAGCAAGGAGAAGGACTAGCAAATGTTTGCAGAGGGACTTTGCCAAGTAACACTCACCACAGCAAGCTAGAGGAGAAGGGAGAGAAAAAGAGAACGTTAAAATGCTTGACAAAGGGGTTTTTCACACCTTAATCCAGACTGCAGGTTTGTGCTTCTGCAAACCGAGAGCCAACTGGCCCGGCCCAATCCAAGCTCCTGGAGGTTTCCCTCCCATTTGAAACACCCAGATATCCTACCTGCTTCAGGCTGGGAGGCCCTGCCCTGGTGCACCGCACGCAGCAGAGCTGTTTCTGCACATGCTCGTGTGTTATTTAAATAAAAATAAAAGCTAATCCTGAAGGGATTGAGTAAGTCACCAGAGCACAGAGCTCAAACTCGGTTCCCCAAGCACCCTGTGTCCTTCCAGCATTTCATTACTGGCCATTGGCCAGAAACCCTCTGCAGCACGTGTGCTGCTTCTCCCTATGGCAGGACACCCCAAAAGAGACCTCCCTTTCCCAGGGGGGAAAATTAGACCCTGATATATTAAAAACAAACAAACAAACAAAAAAACAAGGTAAAATGGGCCACTCAAGGATTTTACACAACTTTGCTCATATTTTCCTTGTACAGAGCCAGTCTACAGCATGTACAAGTGAGACACAGCTGTGTGAGCTACTCCAGAGGTGGAGCTGGAGATCCCTGGGTCAAGGGGACTTAATCGTGCCTCATGGAAGGGGAGTGGTGCCCATGGAAGGCACTCCCCTGCCTGGGGATGGTCTATCTTGCTGCAGGGGCCAGTGAAATATCAGCTGCCACTGATATTTCCCACTTAGCAAGGCACCAAGCAGGGTGAGAGGAGAGGTACAGGGATACTCACAGCACATCTTCATGATGATGTCCAAGATTTCACATTCCTGAAAACAGAGGAAAAGAAATGTTTGATTAATAACAAAGGTAGTTTCCTTTCTACCCACCACCCCTGCTGCTGCTCTGTGTGCCCAAAAAAAAGTCTTGATCTGGAAATGAGTGCTGTGCAAGTGGGGCCTGGCTAGTGATGGACCGGCATGAAGAAAACCTGGCCAGTGAGACTTGCTGGGACAGTAATGGGGGACAGCCACCACTGAGCCCAGGAGCAGGAGGCTCCCACAGCAGTGTCCCCCCTCCCAGGAGCCAGGGGGAGCACAGACCAGGCCAGCAAGCAGCACCCCAGTCCTGTCCCACTCACATCTGGTCCCAGAGGCCCCACAGGTCCTGGTGGTCCCTGTCAAACAGAAGCATAGGAGAGAGGAGTTACAAGAGCAGTCATGTCCTATCAGCGGCATAGTCTGCTGATACCTTGATAAGCAATGCAGAGCTGGGAAAAGCCTTTTGGCTTCCCAGTTGCTGGTCCTTGCACTGGGCTTGGATCATGTACATCAGCTTGTTTGCATGATGCCCTGGTGCTGCACGGAAGTGGGGGAGGAGACCCACTTCCACGTGTGCCAGGCACACTGAGGTGGGAAGGCAGCAAGCACACACACAGTGTGTGTGTGTCATGGCTCGGTGTTGCCCCCAGAGCACCCAGGGGATGGATGGATGGATGGATGGATCGATGCTCTCAGTGCAAATCCTGCCAGGGTCCTTACTTACCGGGAGACCTTCGGGTCCCCTGTAGCCCTTCGCTCCTTTGATGCCCCTGGGGCCAGGGTTTGGGTTCTGGAATGAAAGCAAAAACAAACCCCACAAATCTGCATGTGTCAGGGGGCAGCACCTTCACCTCCAGTGCCTGATGGGCCCTGTTTCACCACAGAAACGTTATCTGAGGTTGTTGTACCCAACCAAACCAGGACTTGGAAGGGTCAGGATGGACACTGGGAAAATCTCCCTCCATGGGACAGTGGTGCAGCACAGGTGCAACCATCAGTGCTACCTGGAAGCTTACAAAGTCTTGCAGAGGTGATGCCGACCTCAGCCTAACAAATCTGGAGGTTTGTCACCTCTAGGACGCAAAATGAACACCTGGAGAGAGCTCCCCTTGCCATCCCTCAGACACTGCTCAGCAGCAAAGTGTGAAGATTTACAAAGTCTGATGGGCTCTGACCCATCAGTGTAAGAGATCCAGCCCAAAGCTCCTGCACTGTGCTCACAGGGAAAGAGGATTCACCATTACACAGAATACTCACATCGTTGCCAGGATCTCCAGCTTCTCCTTCATCACCTTTAAGTCCAACATAGCCTTTTGTTCCCTGAAAAACAATACAGAGAAGACTCCTGCATGGATGGCTGTGGTTAGCGTGGTGAAGTTGGTGCTGGCATGTGGTGACCTTGTGAGAGCTGGCTTGGGAGGGGGTGGAGAGCAGTGTAAGGTGTCCCTAGCACCAAATTTCAGTGCTCTTGAAGGAGAGAGAGCTTCTTAGGCAGTTTTCCCTGCTACAGAATGATGGAATCATTTAGCGTGGACACTAAGATCGAGTCCAATGGTTAAACCAGCACTGCCAAGTCCATCACTAAGTCATGTCCCCACCAGAGCATTGTCCAGCTCCCCCTGGCTGGCACTCCCAACCCCAAATTCTGGCTCTAGGACTGCATCAGAGCATCCAGCCCAGGCTGCTGCCCCTGGGTGTCACTACTAAGGCAGGACACTTCCACCAGAAGCATCCACTGTAGGGAGAGGTGGGCAAAAGGAAAAGAGGGCCTTGGAGGAGCAAGCTGCTTCAGGAAGCCCATTCTACCATGCAGCTGATGGAGAGGCTCCAAGTGCCTAACCAAGGATAAATTCTGGGTGTATGAGGAAGGAGTACACTTACATTAATGCCAGGGTCACCTCTGTCTCCTGGTTGCCCCTGGGGATGAAAAAAAGGAAGCACGTTAGGTTGGACAAGGACAAATAATGGTTTTACAGTTTCAAGGCAACACAAAAAACTTACTGGGGCACCTATGAATCCAATTGTGCCATTCCCAGGAGGGCCATCCTCTCCCTGGAAAGGAAGAGAGACATAGGGGAGATAAAGAAAAGCAGACCCCTCAGATAGCATGGCAGCAGGATCCTGCTCTCCTCAAACAGGGTATCTCCACAGCAGTACCACTCACCCTTTCTCCCATCAGACCAGGTTCTCCAGGCAGCCCAGGTGCTCCAGGTGATCCCTTTGGGCCCTGGAGGGAGCACAAGAAGCAGTCATACATTGCATATAATCTCAGCTGGGAAGATGATGAGGTAACCAGCTGAGGTAACCAGCTACCAACATGAGCCCACATAGATTATACAAGAACAATGTGAAGATTTAGATTAGATGTTATGAAGAAGCTCTTTATTCAGAGAGTGGTGAGGCCCTGGCACAGGTTCCTCAGAGAAGCTGTGGCTGCCCCATCACTGGAATTGTTCAAGGCCAGGTTGGACGGGGCTTGGAGCAACTTGGGCTAGTGGAAGGTGTCCCTGCCCATCTCTGGAATGAGATGAACTTTAAGGTGCCTTCCAACCCAAACTGTTCTATGATTTCTACAAAAGCCATCATCTGGGCTTGGGATTCAGTTTGCTCCCTGCCCTGGGGATCAAACCTGCTGGGAGACTGAGGTGGCTGCCCCCAGAGGGCATCTTTCCCAGCATCTGTGATGGGAAGCCACATGGCTTATGGTGTGGCCATACCCTCTCCAAGAAATGACCTATGGGAAGTGGGGGGAAAGCCAGTCATGGCCTTAAGGACCCGTGGGAAATGCCTCAATGTGTCTGCCAGGAACACTGCAGTTTGTACCTACAGTAGGTTTCCAATATCCAAGGGATACGGGGAAAGCCCTCAGGGACAGCATCTCCTGGTGGTCCCTTCATCCTCTCCCCCCCGGAAGATGTGGTGATGAAGAAGCACTGACCTCGTTGCCACGGGGGCCGTCATCTCCCCTGTAGCCTTTGGGTCCTGGGGGTCCAGGTTCACCCTAGGGAAACACGAAGAGTTCACTCAGCAGGGCTTTTCTCTTGGTGCTACTCCTGCACTGAAGCAACTGGTCCCTTCATTTCATAATGTGTGCCCGCCTTGTGCCTTGCACCCACCAGTGAGTCACCTCCAACTCAGCCAGCCCAAGGAAGGACCCACTGACAGGGGTTAATGCTAGGGAGGAGATGCTTCAGGAGCTGTGCCTGGCTCTCCCTGTGCCCTTCTGCCTCCCCATGCTTCCTTATGCCATTTTCTCTGCAAAACCCTGTCGAAAGCAGATCTCTGCTGAGCACGAACCGAACCAAGAAGCTTTCTGGGTCAAGGTGTGACACTGCAGGCCTGGGTTGAACATCATATGCTTTCAGTGGTGGCTGAGGCTCCCAAAGCTATCCCTCTCCTCCACAGGTTGCCCCAGTAACAGATGACCTGGTGGGAAGAAGACTGGGGAGGAAGGGCTGGTGCTTTCCAGCATCAAAGTACAGCTGGGTTGCACAGTGGCTGTGACAGAGGTGCCCCTGGGGCAGAGGTCGGTCCTTGGTGCAAGCACATCATCCTGAAGGCGACACAAGCCTCCCCATGTCTGGAGGCTCAGACATGTCTGGGGCACAGTCAAGTTGGCAGAGGCCCTTTTCTGGCTCCAGGGAGTTTCCATCCTCAGGAGGCTGCAGAGCTCTGGCAGCTGGTGCTGGAAGGGACCAAAGCTGTCACTATACCACATCCCATCTGGGCAGTGGGCACTTGCTCCATCAGCTGCAGGGCTGGTCAGAGACAGCAAGAGACAAGAGGAGGCAGGAGGAGGGTTCTTTTCTCCAAGAGCTCCACAGATGTCCAAGGGAGTTCCTCCACCTTCTGCTCAGTGCTGACAGCCCTCTATGGGGTTTGCTTTCTGGGAGGTTGGTAATGATGGTGGACATTTACTGGGTAGGGATGCTCTTGCCCATTGGTCCAAATGTTCAAGTGAGGCAGCATTTCACATGGAGTTGGGTTCACAGCTAGCCCCCCAGGCAATGGAGAGCACAGAGGTAGGTAGAGAGCTGGTGCCAAACATCCACATACGCTGTACACGCCCTTCTTCCAAGGAAAGGTGCAGAAGACTTAATATTGCACAGAGCAGAGTACTGAACTGCTCTAAGGCATGTGACCTTATTTCTGCCCAAAAGCCCAGAAGAGAGAAATCTTGGAAGGAGGAACAGGAACTTGTGATCCCTCACACCAGCCAAGGCTGGAGTCGCTGCACCCTTGGCTCGCACTGGCCATACATGTCCTCACTCTAGCAGCACACAGCACAAATCTCTCATGGCCCTGGAGGAGTTCATGATGACGCAGGATTTTGGGTGAGGAAATCTTTGTCCACTACTTTTCTGGGTGCGACAAGAACCACAGGAGGGATGGGCACCATGGCCAGGAAGAGAGAAGGGCCACCAAACCTGTCCATGAGGATCAGGGAAAGAGTATGCTGGCCTTTAGCTTCCCTTGGATAGAAACAGGATGAAAGGGAGTCACAGGTTAGCGGGAGCCCTTTCCCCTTGCCAAGAGAAACACACTCCAAGATCCAGAGCTTGCAGATAACACGGCTTGAAAAATATTCGTGTTTGCCAAAGTCCTACTCTTACCCAAGCCCAATTATGCATTTATTTTTAATTTGGAGAAAAAAAAAAAAGCATTCTTCCTCAGCTTATGGAAAAATCATCCTCACTTTGCAACTACTTTTCAAATCTCCCTGGAGTGGTGGAGGCACTGAGGCGGCCGCTGGTGTGGGAAGGCATTTGAGCTGCTTTTGTAATGCTTCTCTCTCTCTGACAGGGGTTTGACTCAAGTTCAGTGGTGGAGAGGGAAAACTGGTGTCCCACAGGCTCAGAGACAGCAGGGAGATGGTTCTTTCTCCTCTTTCTCCCCAACAGTGAAGGCTATCTGGAAGAAGGATCTATCCCTGCCTGGCTCCCCACCATGCTTGCACCAACTTTCTGTCTTCTGCATGGTCTTTCTCCTGCCTTGAACCTGGAATGAGCCTTCTACCACACGGAGAGCAGCTCCAGCTTTAGCCTCCTTTGCCAGCGTTATCTGCAGCGCAGATCCAATACACACACATCCAAAGAGCTGCCTTTCCAGCAGGGCCACCCCTCAAAATGACACCTCAGCAATGCCCAGCAAGCTGGATGCTGCCAGGTGCTCTTTGGTTGTGGCAGGAGCTCAGCTCCGCTACAGGATCTGGACAATAGGACATTTGAACAATATCTGGACAGTAGGAGCTGGACAATCCTCCTGTGTGGATTTGGTGCTCCTCACTAGCATGACATAGGCTCAAGGGAAGCCCAACTCCAGGCAAGCACAACCCTGGCACAAGTACAGCGTCTCCCCAGGCTGTGGCATGGAGCAGGTCTGCTGTGCAGGTCACCCATGCTGGGGATAATGTGAATGCAACAGCCACCCCTTCATGCCTGTCCTGTACTCTGGATCTCCTCCAAGGGCTCTTCAACACTTGGCTGACCATAAAGGAGTTCAAAAGCTGTCTCATTTTTGTCCGCACACTGGTCTCCATGCTTCACATCCAGTAGAAGTCCTGCTCCACCAGTGTGGGAATGTTATCTCAATATATCTCTGTGTCTTTGGATCCATCAGAACTCTGATGGTATGGGTAGAAGGGGAGTTGTCGCACAGAGCCCCTCCAAGGGTGATGTCAAAGCATGCTTGCTCAGGTGCAAAGACCCTGTGAGCCATTACAACCTGTGCTATTGACATGGAGGATTGACCCAGCAATACCTCCAGACCCAAAGTTATCACCCAGGTACACCTTTGGGAAGCAAAAGCCTTTAACTGTGCAGGGGACAGAAGCCTTCCTCAGGCTGGATGTAGCCAACTCTGCTCTCCAGAAAGCCCATGAAGTCTGAGATCTGTTCCTTGAGGACAAGCAGTCCCCAGAGCAGGAGGGCCACATCTTGCAGCAAGCAGGCTTGAGGAATGCTGGCTTTGGTTGTCTCTGCAGATGCCAAGGGTGTCAGAGACACCGCTGGGGCCACGTCAGGATATCCTCACCAACACAAGATGTGTCATTGACTCCCCTGACTGAGGTGAGCAGCTTCTGGCCCCAGGTCTGAATATTTTGTGCTGCAGCTTGCACTTGCACTTGCCAGTTTCCAATTCTGTCATATGTGTTGACATCTGTTTCCATGGAATTGGGAAATGCTGTGGAGGTTGCTCTGCCCACAGCCCAGCAACCAAGTCTCCATTTTTTCAGCCCTGTTCATATCCTGGGTTCTTGTAGAAATTCCTGCCCCTCTTCAACAGCTTTGCTTCCTGGTCTGGAAGATGCTGAGAAGTCAACCCAAGATGCTGTGGCATTAGTTAAACACCCTACCCCACTCCCCACTGTCCAAACCACTTCCATCTGGGAGCCAGAAGGTTAGTACAAGCTCTTACCTGGTCACCAGGTGGTCCGAGGGGTCCTTCTCGCCCTTGGTCACCAGGTGGTCCAGGTTCTCCCTGAAAACACAGAGAGAGGGCATAAGAAACAAAAAGAGGGACAGATGTAGGGTACAAAGGGACCTGTGTGCAATGGGGAGCAGCACCAATAGCTGGATGGAATTACAGCCATCCAAACAGAGAGGGTTTTGAGACAGATTCAGGAGCTGAGTAGGAAAATATCAGAGAGGTGTGGAGATAAAGACAGGCTAGTGCAGCCACCTTGAACCCAAGAAGATAGCCCTAAGAGGAAGACCTTCTGAAGCTTTCCTCTAGGTGACATGTTTCAGCCCATTTTGTGCCAGAAAAGTAAATGTTTGGAGAGATTCACCTTCCAAGCCTTCTGCAGATACACAGACCTGGCCCTGGACTCAAACCAGCCACACTCTGCAACCACGGCTGCTCCTCTAGAGCAGCTCCTGCCCTAGGCAATCTGCATGGAGAGGAGCCTCCAGGATAGCAGCATCCTTCCTCCACCCCCTCTTCCTCCATCCTGCCATACCTGGGGAGCCAAGGTGATTCCTAAGGGAACGAGCCAGCAGACAAAGAGGGACACCCTCACCTCTCATTACCAATGTTCTCCCCTCTCCTTTGCTAACACTTAGCACCCTGAGCCAGGCTAGGGCTACTTGCAGAAAACTGACAGCCCAGGAGAGCCCAGAAAACCTGACTTTCAGTGTTTTTGCACCTCACCCGTTCCAACAGAAGGAAATACCACAGTACTGGGCTCAGTTTCACTTTCACTCAACAGCCTTCCACTGGCCCAGCAGAGCTGCATCCCAAAAGGTCAGTGTGTCTGTCAGACCCAGGCTGACTCTGTGGCACCTTCCTCATCCAGACCCATGGCCAGGAGTGAGCAAGTCGGGGAGGCAGAGGAGAGTGAACTTTGAGGGAAGCAGTTGAAAGCTTGGTGACCTAAAGCTGTTGTTTGCAACCTAGAAGCTGCCAGATGGATAAGGCAAACAGCAAATACAAAACACAACTTCCAAAAGGCCCCAAGAAGTTTCTGGCGAGGTTACACAGCCTCGTGCTTGGACTAAAACTTGGAAGGAAGCAGCCCATCATCTGCTGAACAATTTAACTCTGGGACACTGGCGTGCCTTCATGTCCCGCGCACATCTGCCCCGCACACCCCGTGTGGCAGCACTGATGCTCCCCAAGCAATAAACAGGAAGGAGGAGGCTGCCAGAAGCCCCCTGCCAGAGCTGCTCCCTCCCCAAGGCAAACTCTGCCCCACCTCAAAGCTGGTGGTGGGTCCTCACTGCCCTCACTGCAGGGACAGGGAATGAGTGGTGCAATGGTGATTGCCCAGCAGTGGGAATACCGGATGCTGCTGCGGGGCGCCCTGGGTCCCACCACCCCGACTCTGCACAGCAGCACCCCTCGTCCCTCCCTGTGGCGTGTGGCATGTCTGTCGCTTGCCACATGTTTATCCTGGCCCGCTGATGGCTCTTGCCTGTCTCTCCCACACTCAGCCTCGCTGACTCACCCCTGGCAGGCAGGAAAAATACTTTCCCAGTGACTCCCACCCAAAATGGGAGGGAAGAGCGTTTCCCCCGCTCCCGTTCCATCAGCACCCACTCACTCTGCCCTGCTGTTGATGGTACCTGTGCCCTCCTTCCCAGCCCCTGAGCACCTGGAGGAGGACACCTTGTCTCTTTTCTCTCCATCAGCTGGTTTTCCAGCTGTGAGGAAGGAACTGGCCACTGTTCACCTGCTCTTGGCTTGCTGGGCAAACTCTTCCCTGGATTTTGGCTATTTGGTGATTAGCTGTTAGTGTAAAGGGGCAATTGCTGGGGGACAAAGACAGGTCCCTCCCGAACTGGTAGAAAAGGCACTGAGCTTGCCTGTTGGCCCACAGGCTGGTGGAGTTAGCCCCTGGGCACCTATTTCCAGCGCCTGGCTTCCAAGCATCCCCCCGTTTGCAAGCAGATTCTGAAAGTTGCCCTGTGGGTGCAGTTACCGGCTCTCCTCTCAGCCCGCGGTCACCCGGCGAGCCTGGTGCTCCTCTTTCTCCATTGCTGCCCTGCAAAGAGACGGTGGGATCACAGAATCAGGATCTGCTCCCAGCAGGAGCAAAGCCCTCCCTCATTGCCCACCTCTGAGTGGGCTCAGCCCCAGCCCCCCTCCTCCTCTTCTAGAGGGTACCAGCCCCTGCCCATGCCCTGGTGGGGTGCCTGGCAGAGGTGCCCTCGCTTACCCGTTCTCCTGGAGGACCATCTGCACCTGGAGCACCCTGTGGAGAAACAAGAGGGGTGGTCAGGCAGTGGGGATGGCCAGCAATCATGCACAGGGGCATCACAGGCAGAGGACTCACCTCATCACCAGTCTCTCCTACTGGTCCAGGCTCACCTTGGTTCCCTCTAGCGCCCTGCATGAGCAAGGCACAGAGGTGCAAATGAGAAGTTAAGTTTTGGATCAAAACCCTTCGTGTTTGCAGAGCTTTGGGCAAGCTCTGCTTCAAAGCCCAGGCTGAAGCAGGGGAACTCTCCCTCCCACAGAGGGCAGGGGATGTTCACACACAGGTACTTCTTCACCCACCTTCTCTCCAGGGCTGCCGGGAATCCCCTGTCGGCCAGGTTTTCCGTCATTCCCAGGCTCCCCCTTCATAAGGACACAAGGTACCATCAAGATTGCATTCAGCACCCGGTGGTGGATCTTGGCTCCCAGAGCACAGGGATTATCAGGAGCCCCGGTGCACCCCAAGCCTCTTTCAGGGCTGTGGTCTCTCCCCATCCTCAGCAGATCCCACCCTACTCCACTCCTAGTGAAAGCCAACTTTTTCACAGCAGCCCCCCAATATCTCAGGGATGCTCATTCCAGGCTTGTGGGCACCCACTAACCTTGGGCACACTGGGGGTTAAGGAGGGCATCCTCTAGAGTAGAGGCCAGGTTGGATGGGGCATGGAGCAACCTGGTCTAGTGGAAGGTGTCCCTGCCCATGGCAGGGGGTAGAACGAGGTGGGCTTTAAGTTCCCTTCCCACCCAAACAACTCTGATTCTGTGATAGGCTTGCCCCAAGTAGTGCAACGAATTGCCACCTCTCCGTCTTGCAGAAGAGGGGTGTCAGCACCCTTCCTGCATGAGGCTGGGCAGTGCAACTCACCTTTCCTCCCTTGGGTCCATAAGCACCAGGATCTCCTTTCGGTCCAGGTGGGCCTTGAGCTCCCTGTTGAAGTTAAAGGCAGCATCACTGAAACCCAAGCGGGTAACACTATCTGTAGGAAACTGGGCATGGACTGAGCATCCCAGCAGCCCAGCACACAACTCCCTACTGGGATGGACAGGAGGGACGTGACACCATGGAGCCACACAAGCAACACTGAGCCCACATTGCTGAAACACTTTTGAAGCTCAGAGGAAAAGGGCAGAAAAGGTGGCTGTTGGCCTTCTGTGGCTGGACCATAGTGACACTGGTGCCACCATGAATGTGTCATCCTGGGAGCATGGAAAAAGCAGCAAAACTGTAGAAATACAATGTCAGAATAATGTTTTCCAGAGCAGCATCCCAGGCAGCCCCGTGCAATGGGGGACAGTTTCCAGGCAAGGACAAGGTAGACTGCCCTGGGGACATCCCCAGGGTGTCATGTGTGGTATCCCAGCATTCCATGTGTCCAAGAAACTCCCTCCCACAGCTCCCTGTCTTGGGGGGCTCCCCATTTCCACACACCATCATGGAAGACCTGCTCATTTGCATGCAAGGGGTACCCAAAGGGTACGTACGTCGAATCCAGGTGAGCCTTTGCATCCAGGTAATCCAGGGTATCCAGCTTCACCCTGTCAGGCAGACACAGCAGGGGTCTCCAATGAGTGGCACCCATGGGAAGACCCCATTCATCATTCCAGACCCCTGGAAAGGACATCCCAGCCCTGTCTTTGGCTGGCAGCTGGATGGCTCTGCAGGAAGGGAGCTCTGCTGCCCCACCAGCTTCATTCTTGGATCCCACAATGGTTTTGAAGGGACAAAAGCCAGGGTCCTCAGGCCTAGCAAAGTGCCCCGGAGCAGAGATCTACCTTCATGCCATCGATGCCATCGATTCCACGCCTGCCTTTCTCACCCTGAAACAGAAAATAAGGATCATGAAGAGATTCCCAAAGATGCTTCTCCTTCCAGGCATCAAACAGAGAGAATAAATGGTGCAAAAGCAGAGGCTGACCTTGGCTCCTTTGGCTCCTCTTGAGCCCTGCAAAGGGAAGAAGAGAGATGTCAGACCCCCATGCCGAGCAGATTCATCCCCCCACCATGCTGCAGTCCCCACACCAGCTCAGTCCCAGGATGCAGGCATTCACCATGCCTCTGCATACCACTAGATCCCACTGGATCCCTGCTCCTGGCTCAGGCAGTGCTTGCAGGAGGCATGGAATCATGGGCACATACCAGACCCCAACACGATCCAGCTGCAGAGGTAGCCCAGGATAACCAAGCTGGGCGACACAGTGATCTCCCCCAAACATCCCTGCTGTCCTCACCTTTTCTCCTCGGCTTCCTTTGTCACCCTAGAGAGGAAAGGAGAGAGGCAAATGGGAGAATGAGAATACTTGCAGCTCAAAGCCCGTGGCCCTCAGAGGAACCATGGCTGTGACCCTGCAGCCCCACATACCTTCATTCCTTGGTAGCCAACAGGTCCCATGTCCCCTGGTTTGCCCTAGGGGACACAAACCTAGTGTTACACCACCATGGGATAGTGTCCCCCCAGACTCTTGATGTGGGGCTCATGCCCAGCCACCATTGTCCCACAGGAGGCTCTCCCATAACTCTTGCTCCTTGTTTTCCTGGTCTGGGAGCATGGGATCATTGTGGAGGGCCAAGGGGACCTGCCTTCACCTCCACCATCTCCAGCCCTTCCTAGGGGTGAGGAAAACTGAGCACCTGGGGACACATCATTTGGGATGAAAGGGAGGGTAAAAAACCCTTGGGAAGGAAAAATGCACGGCATGGGGTTTCCAAGCTGGGGATGCACAAGGTGGATAACTGCACACTCACGTGTGCGGGAGAAATGTGCCTCCTAAAAATAAAGTGTGCCCGGTAAAGAAAAAAAAAAAAGGGAGGAGAAGGGAAATAGTACCCTCATGCTTTTAGGCTATTATTTACCAAAGGTTTCCCTGTAACACTGCTGTGCTTGTTGTGTCAGAGGATGCAGGAGGGAGCCCAGAGTCCAGCCCTGGGCTGGTATACATGAGTCAGAGACGTGTCCTCCAGGAGGGACGGCTATTTTGGGTGAGGAACAAGGAAGCCTTGTAGCAAGAGGAGGAGTCACCCCACTGCACACCATGACTACCCCATGGAAACAGGGTGATGCTGGTGAGGATGTGCCTGAGAGGTCTGGCCACAAGCAACCAAAAAATAGCCCCTGTGCAGAGTCACCAGGGCTGGTCCTTCACTTACTGGGCTTCCAGCTTCTCCTTTCTGGCCAGGAAGACCTGGCTTGCCTCTTTCTCCCTGCAATACAGGACAGAAATACAGTTAGCTCATCACCCCCAGGAATAGAACAACGACCTGTTGAAAGGAGAGCAGGGAGGATGGAAGCAGCAATGCTCCAAGGATATGGGGACCAGATGATGCTGGCCACATGGGAAGACAGTGTAGGTCCTCATCCACTTCTCTGCGGGGCAGTGGTGGGATGCTGAGGATCCATGCTCCAAAGGTGATCTTAGAGGTCTTTTCCAATCTTAATGACTCTTTGATACTGATTCTAAGTCTCTGAGCATCCCCAGTAAACCCATCCCACTGCCCAGGTCCCACAGCACAGCCACAACCAGTCCCTCACCTCATGGCCTGGGTCACCAGGTGGTCCAGGGGGCCCTTGAGGAGGCTGCAGGAGAGAGGTATGGGTTAGACCAGCCACAGAGGCACAGCCTGGGACCACAGGGATGCGAGGGAAGGGAACAGGGGTCTCAGAAGTCTGACTCACCTGGCACTCAAAGGAGCAGCACTGCCCAGAGGGAAGGAGAAAACAGCATTAGAGCAGTGGGAAGCAGCAGGGTCAGACTGCAGCCTGTTCGAGGGGGTTCCCCTGGCTGGCAGGAGTTGCCTCAGGCAGGGTTGTGCCACTGAGCTCCCCTTGGCCGTGGGTGACCCACGGGGGACAGGCTCAGGCGCAGGGGGACACTCACCGATTGCTCTGTGTTAAGTTTCTGCAAGACAGGAAAGCAAAGAGAGGGTGTTTGAGAGAGACAGGTGAGCCTGGGCAGGGGATGGGTGTGGGGAGGAGGTGGGCAGTGCTCACAATCATGTTGATGATGGTGTTGATGGTTTCCTCCACATCAAGCTCCCGCGTTGGCTTCAGGCTGGTGGCGGTGAAGTTGCGGCGGTAGGCGTGGTCTGTGGCGATGATGTTGAGCCGCTGGTCCTAAGGTCGGGGTGGGGAGGGAAGAATGAGACCCGTGGGCACCTGTGCAGGGTCAGTCCCCAGAGATCATCCTGGGAACCCTCACTCTCCCTTCGGAGTGCCCTCAGAGCCTCCTTTGCCCCACTAGGGGTCTCATGGTCCCGCTTGGGACCCCTGCAGGGAGCATCCCTGCCATGTGGTCCCTACCAGGTGATTGGGAGAGATGGCAACAGAGAACACTTTGATCCCCAAATGTTTGGCTTCATTGGCAGCATCATCCAGGCCTCCACAGGGCTCCTTGTAACCTTCCAAGGGATGTCCATCAGTCACCACAATCAGGTATTTATTCTCCTTGTGATGGGAACCACTGAAAGGGTTTAAACGTGGGATTTAACATTGCAAGGATTTCGCTGGGGAGGAGTGGTTTGGGCACCTCAGGGCACTCACCCCAGGCAGCGCCCCATCCTGGGGTCAGGGCAAAGCCAGAACACTGCCATCCCTCTGCCCATTCCATGCCCAGGTGACCTCTTTTCCCAACCTGAGGACAGCTCTACACAATGCACAGGCATGTCCTAACCCAGAAGCTCCCAGCTTGCACTCTCCACAGCCATGCCAGCAGCACGCCCCTCTCTGCCCCACTGCCTCACCTGATGAGCAGCTCCTCGATACCCCGCTTTATGGCGCAGTCGGTGTAGGTGCCCTTCCCGATGTAGTTCACAGCCGAGACGCGGTTCTTCAGCTCGCTCTGGCCGCTGGGCATCGGGGTGAGGCTCTTGATGAGCACGACCTCATCGCTGTAGTGCAGAGCCCCCGCGTTCCACACCAGGTTGCGGTCGCAGCGGTAGTACCTGTGCGGACACACCAGGACACGTGTTCCAGCACTTTCGTCCAGATCCACCGACACCTCTACTTCACTTGCACCACCATGGAACATGAAAGCGCTCTGCGAAACAGGGATTTGCCAGGACTCCCTGCTTTCCTGCAAGGCAGGGACATGCTTGCCATGCAAAGCACAGCAAGGGACCAGGGGAGCTTGTCCAGCGAGGCACCTGGTGGGCATCTGCAAGGATCAAACAGCTTGGCAGAGAGGCTTCTGGAAGAGCTGCCAGGCTGCAGTGGTTGCAGCTGAGCAGGAGATGCTGAGCCAGACAGCCAGGTGTGTGAGTGCAAGGCAGGTAACCACTGAAACACCCCACACAGAGGTTTTCCACTGCTAGATGCGTTCAAACCAGAGAGGGATGCCTCCCTCTGAAGGATGATGTGATTCAGAGAAGGATGAGTGTATGTGTTGAAGCCCTGCCCTGTGCACTAGCACATCCAACACCTGTGACTCCCTGGGACAGAGGCACCACCTGTGCTTTGGTCACTGCCCCAGAAATCAATCCTAAAGGGATGTGATTTTTTTTTTCAGGATGTGGGGACCAATCCCAAAGGGGTGGTGCTGCACATCTCCCCTACTTCCTCAAGCTCATCTTCTCTCTGCCCAGCAGGACACCTTTCCCAGTGCCACCTGAACCTTGTCCATTGCTGTTCCCTCCATCCCACTGCTGCCAGTTGCCTCTGGACTGAGACCAGAGCCTTGCTTAGGGGAGAGTGATGCTGCATTGAGGGAGGCCTGGCAGGTTGTTCCCAAGCACAGGGCTCCTGGTCACTCAAAGCCTTGTGATGTAGCTCTCCTGCCTGGGAAATGGGCAGATGAGCTGATGACCTGATAATCCTTTCCTACCCATCCTGAGATGGGGCACTGCCCCTCCAGCTGGTGCAGCACTGGAACACCCCCATGGTGCCCCTCTGGGCACCAGCACACATCTCCTGCTGTCCCGAGGAGCTCAGGAAGACCCATGTGCCCCCAGGACTTGTGGTGCTCCTGTGCATCCCTGGATCTCCTGCCAGCAGGTAAGCCCAGCATCATCCCCTCTGGGATCTGAGAGCTTTGTTGCTCTTGGGCATCTCTGCATGACCTCCCCTTGGGAAAGCCATGGTCAGACAAGGGTTGGTGGCTGCAGAGGTAGGTGAGGAGGCGGCAGATAAAGGGCTGGGCAATGGGGTGGATAATGGGCACCCAAAGCTGGGTGTTGTGGGGTACACCAGTTGCAAAGGAGGATTTGCTCTGTGGGGTGCTCTTGACTGCTGGGTTTAAACACCAGAGGTGCTCTGCTGCCACCCAAGCACCCGGGTTGTTCTGGGCCTGAGCACAGGCATCAGCATTACTTTGGCACTGCAGAATAACCACATAGCCAGCCAGAGGTGGTGGGGTTGGGATGCCATGTCTGCCACTCCAGGAATTTCTTTCTTTCCTGAGGGTGGGTGCAGGCAGCCCTGCTCAAGCCACACTGCTGCCCTCAGCACAGAGAGCAAAAAGAGGGCAGCTGAGGATTGGGAGAGGGAGGAGAGGCTCCCATCTCCCTCCCCAGCATTCCTGCTTTCCTCCTCTCCCTCTGTGGAAAGACATGCAGGGTGTTCTCAGCATCCCAGTCAGCTCCATTCCTAAAGCAGCCCAGATAAACCCCTGGGAGATGTACCTATTGGTCAGCTTATCAATGAACCGGTTGGTGAAATCTTTCACTTGGGTAACCAGGTCCCCAAAGGGCTTCACCCTCAGGGCGACGCTCTCCGAGGTGTCCAGGACAAAGAACAGGTCCACAGGGCAGTCTGGAAAGAAGTGGAGAGGCAGGAATTGGCCAGCAGTCCTGCTGCATCGCCTCCCCATCCCAGGCTTCCCGTGCTGCCCACAAAGTTTTCCTCCAAGCAGCCTCCCAGAATCAGGACTTAGGGGAAAGCTTTGACATCCTAACTCCCTTGGCATCAAGGGTAAGCAAGATTACATTTTCAGAAAACATCGGTTGGTGGCATTTAACACTTTCCTATACTGTCTTCCACATTTCCATTCAAGGGATATCTTTGCAAGTCCTATACTACTTATTATAAAAAACAACATGCAGTTACAAGAACCACTTAAAAAAATTAAACCAAGACATTTTAGCAATTCATGCTATGAGAAACCACCAATTTTCTGACACATCCTGTCAAAAATATAATTTTAGGAAAGAGCAATAACAAAACCATTCCTTAACAGCCAGGGTCAAACCCTAAACAGTTCAGAAAGCTGAACTGGTATCAGCTGTTATCCCCCTCTCCTGCATCCCAGTGCTACTGGTAAATCCTGACCAGACAGAGCCAAGGAAAGAGAGCCAAAAACCATGAAAAGTGGGTACATCGTGCAGATCCTCTCTAATCCTACGCTGCTTTCCTCAGCAAGCCAAAACGTCCCCACAGATCTGCAGTGTGTTCAGCAGTGGAGGTATCCACCCGGGAGGGGAACAGCAGTCAGGCTTCTCTGCTGGTCCCATGAAGAAAAACCACCCTGGAAAGCATCCCAGGCTTACCTTCTGCACTTGAGACTCGTGTGGAGATCGGGCTCACACGCTGCTGAGCGTATGACCCCCCCCCCAGGAAGCCGGCCAGGAGCAGCAAAGTGAGTAGAAAGTCTCGCAGCCTCATGTTGCTTCGTTCAGATTACCATCGAGCTGCATCCAAGAAAAAAGCAGGGAAGGAGAACCCAGCAGCCGAGAGAGCCCACAGCCCGGAGGCGGGAGTCGCTGAAGATATTTTTTTTTACCGCTTTCCCCTTGGTTTCCGTGGGAGGAAGAGCAGGCAGGAGGGTAAGGGTGAGGAGGAGACTTCTCCAGCCCGAGGACGGAGGGAGGGATCAGGGGCTGTCAGCTGTGAGTCAGAACCTAATGAAGCATTTCTCCTTACCCTTTTTATGGATGTCGCTGTACCTGCGATAGCAGCCTGGCCACCAGTGCCTAGGACCTCTACAAGCCTCACACAGGGAGCCCTGGTGCAGCCAGTGCCCAGAGTCAGCATCCTGCCTGGGTTCAGCCTGCTCGCTGGGGCAGGGGAGCTTGGGGCACCTGCCAGCAGCTTCCTCTCAGCTCCTGGGCCAAGAAAGCTGGGACAGGGGGACATGCATTCCCAACGCATCCCAAACTGCATGAGAGCTGGTCTGTGTTGTCCCAGGGAGTCCCCGCCACATGGCAGAGCTGGAGCTGTCCCGAGGCCACACAGGGATTTGGGGCACTGTGGAGGTACCACATTTTTGGAGAAGCACTTTCTTCCCTGAGTTTCAGGGTTTTCTGCTCAACCCAGTCAGGAACATGAGAGGCAAGCTGAGAAGAAACCCACAGGCACACCCTGGGTTGGGAACAACCCTTCTCCCCAGGCCCATACTCAGGGCAGGGGGCAGGGACAGGCTCAAAGCTGTCAAGCCTAGGAGGTAGAAGTAGGAGCACAAGTCCTTAGGGAGACCCATAAATGAGCATTTTCCCATTCTGTAGGATGGCAGGAGAGCCTGAGGACCTGTAGTAGTGTGGACCCCCACAGCAAGGAGTCCCAAGGTGGTATTGACCATTTGCTCTTCATGGCCAGAACCGGAGACAAGTACCAGGTCGTGCCAAACCCCTCATCACAGTGGGAGCATTAATTGCTAGGGGAGGGTAGAGGTGAAATACCTGAGGGTTGACCCTGCTTTCAAGCTTTTCGCAGCTGCAGCTGTAACCTGCTCCCAGAAGCACAGGAGGGAGACCAAAAGCTGTCATTAAATAAAAAGTTGATGGGTGCTGCCGGATTGTTCTAAAGGGCAAAGAGTTGACAGCACAAACCCAGTCAGTACAAATGGCTTGCACCCAAGCTGGTAGCACGAAGGCAGCAGGAGACCTGCCATGCAGGGCTGGCTGCCACCTCTGTCATCCTAACTGTCACGCACAACTACTCTGACAGCACCTTTGTGTGGATGAGCAGGAGGAAATATCGCAGGCTTGGCCATCGGATGTGTCTCAAGTTGAGACAATGCAAAAGAACCCAGTAGCTCCACGGGTTGCAAGTTACAATAGAGGAGGATCTTGTCCACACTATTGAGGCAGATGCATCAAATAATGACTCTTTGGATAAACAACATCCAAAATCGGTGGAAAATAACCTGCAGACTGTGCTGAACTGAAACCTTGTGAACCCAAAAAACAGGCGCCGTTTTTCACTCCAACACAAATTTAGGTGCATCTGTGGAAGCTGATATTAAAGCAAAGAGAAGAAAATGGTGGTCTCAGGATGACTCCTGATCACCCCTGCAACCTGTCCCCATAGCTTCTCTAGGACTTTGGAGAGTCTCAGGGTGCCACGTGCTCTGGCTGAGGAGCAGCCAGAAAAACAGGGCAGCTCCCCGGAGCTGGCTGGGCAGCATTGTTGAGGGTGGAAAGAGACATCCTGGCCACAGAACAGCAAGGGGTTGGTTGTGCTGAGGAAAGCATTCCTCCCCCAGCTAAAAAGCTTTAGTATGAGCGTGAACCTGGCTGGTGTAATAAACCACCCAGGCACTGAGGTGTGTGGGCTTTGCTGAACCGCACAGGTTGGCACCAAGAGGTGAGCACACTACAAGGCAAATTTTCAAGACCTCTCAAACCTACTGAAGATACTATCCAAGAGAACAAGCATGCCCAAGGACAAGTCCAGCTACATGACGCTTAATGGGGGATCAGATGCTAATCTGGCTCTCCAGCACAGCTCCTCAGGCTCCCATGAGGGAGCTCACTCGGGGTTTTGAAAACCAGCCAGCAGCTCCCAGAAAGGGGGGAGCTTGGAAGGGACCTGTATTCGTGCATCAGCTTAGCAGAGTCATCCTGTGAACCTGCACACCAGAGGCATTTCCTCTTAAGCTTTCTCTCTTCCTCTTTCCCCTTCCCTCACAGGGAATTATCCCAACTAGCAGAAGAGCCGATCTCCCTCTCCCTACAGGAAGAGAAAAGTACATCCCGCTAAGGAACAGCTCCGCAGAGCTGGAGCAAGCTGGAGGCCAGTTGGCTGCGTCGGCAAAGACTTAATGATAATGGTATGGCCTATGTAAGGCGCCTGCCGACCGTACATGGCTCCCCACAGCTGCAGCCTCTCAGATCCTGTGTGCCCTGGGGAGCTCCTCCCACCTCACTGGGGACCCCAGTCTCTGCCCAGAGCCCACACACCAAACCCCAGGGGCTGTTATCAGGCATAATGTCCCAGGAGCGTGCTTCATGTGCTTACAACTAGGGAAATTTCGGTGCTCTGAATGGACAGCGGGATTGGAGCCGTATCCAGCTCCAAAAGCGTTTTAAATCCTTGCCTTTTCCAGGTCTGCAGTGCTAAACCATGGCCAACAGCCAGCACCATCCCCAGGACATTGAATAGCCATTTTCTTGGAAAAGTGTGGGCTAATTTTGCAGTAAAAAAAAATTTCCCAAATCACTGGGACTAGCAGCATGCCATCGTGTCTTGAAATCCAAGGACACATGCCTGTGAAGGACATTCCCTCTCCCTTCCTCTTCAGAGGAGGCCAGGGAAACTGAGTCCTATGGCTCTGCCCCTCCCAGGAGCAGGGGACCTCCTCCATCTATCAGCCTCCCTCCCAAGTGCCATGCAGATGGTCAAGGGGAGCTCCCTTCATGGTGCCAATGTTCCCCAGGGAATGGCTGTTCTCCTTCCCAAGTCCCAGCCCACAGCACTGCAATAAACTTTTAGTCCAATTCCAGACAAAACTGGGTGCAGAAAAAAGAACGTACACTTGGGACAGAACTTTTGCTTTTCTCCTCCCAGAGACTGAGAAAAGAATGAGTTTGCTCTGTTTTTCTGATATTAACTCTTTCATGAAACCTTTCCTTCCCTTTAGTCAAGTCTACTTGGAAATGGAAAACTGTGCTTCCACAGAAAATATGGAAAGGAACTAAAATGAATTCCCATGGTAAAAGTCAGCATTGAACCTGGCAGCGTGCTCATAACCAAAGGGTGCTTTGGAAGGCAGGATCAAATGCCAGGTTTCCAGCTCCATCTTCTGCAGCTGGGACTACTTTGTCCTCTCACGTGGTGCTGGGAAATGCCACAATTAAGGAGCACCGAAATTTCCATAATTGTAACCACATGAAGCACACTGGTCTCCTGACAACTGCCTGCGTCATCTTTGTCACCTTCCCCCCACTCCTGGGGACGTGAGTGCCCAGCGATGGAAACGTTTGGAACAATGGATGTTCTCTGGGAGAGGTTTCCATGTGTCTGGTTACCAAGGGCTGCTCCTCCCCAGACTGGCTTTAGGACCCCCAAGGTGTACAGCCCAGCTCCCCCATGGCTCACCCTCCAGCCCACTGTCCTCCCCACCTCCATGCTCAGACCTCCACCACAGGGGCAGCCGCGGTGTGAGGCCAGCACTGTGCGAACCACAAACCCCACTGGAAAGAATGTGGCTTGTGGTGCTTCTGCATATGATAATTTAGCTTCCCACAGCAGTTCTCTGCAGGAGGAGGCAGCAGAGAAACCCCTCTGACCAGGAAAACATCACCTCTCCCAGCACAAGCTGGTGCTGCCATGCGAGCAGCTCACCATGGGCACAGGGTGTGCCTTGGCAGCACTAGGGGAGGGTCTTGCACTCAACCACCCACCTCCAAAAAACACCCAGTGGAAGAGACAGCCCATCTTCCAAACCCTCTGACATCCCTACTCTAAGTGACCCCTTTCCTTTGACCCCACAAGATGCAGCACAGCTAGGACATGGTGCTTCTCCAAACTGCTGACCCGGCACAAACTCCCCTGCTCTGCTGTTTGCCAGCTGGGCTTTGCTCTCACCAGTCCGAGTTGGCCTGGGGGGACCCTTCCCTCCCTCCCAGCACCATCTGGGGATACACTCTTCCCTTCCCAAGCCACCTCAGGGGGTCACCGCCACTCCAACGGGTGGTTTCCAGCTGCCATCCATCCAGCAGGCATGCCACCCCACCCTGCAGACCACTTCCATGCTGGCACAGCCAGGACATGGCACAGCTCCACCCGCAAATCCACATCCCCACGCCCAGGCTGGTGTGTGGTGGGTTAATTTTTTCCCCATTACCTCACCAACGTTGGCCTCTGTTCTTATGGAAAAAAACAAACCATCTGGTAATAATATTTCCCTAATAGCTGTCTGGGTCTGTGGGAAAGCTTGGCTCAGCTTCTTAGGAAAGATGAGAGGGTCAAATGAGAGGGGAGGCTGCGGATGCAGCATGGGAGCTGGAGGAGAGGAGATAATGCTTTCGGGATCCTTTTTCTGGGCCACCCCAGGGCTTGCAGGGATCCTCGACTCACAGGGGGACCATGGGATACCAGGATGTCACACAGTCAGGATACCAGGAAGGGCCTCCCCACACTGTCCTGGCGAAAGAGTCTCACCCTCATCCCCTGTTCCACAATAGAGGCTTGAAAGCAGGCAGCACTGCTTTCACTTCTAGGGCTTCCCCCCCCCCCCCCCCCCCCCCCACATTTTACACTCAGAAAATAGAAAGAGCCCAAAGAGTGGGTTTTTGGGAGTTGGGAACATCATGGTTCAGGGATAAAACTGGCAAGATCAGCAGCACCTACAGTGTCCTTCTGCTCTTAGAGAAAAGGCAGCACCCCGGGATGTGCCACCCCCAGCCCTGGGGACACTGCTGTTGAGACAGGGGACAGAGGACCCCGCTCTCATGGAGCATATCCAGGAAAAATGGGTGGAAAAACACGCGCTCAGCTCTCTGTCAGTTGAGCAGGGAAAAATTTCCGTTTCTCTGCAATAAAAGTTGTTACTTGGGCGA